AAGCATTGTATATGACAATCAAACTGAAAACAAGAGAAAGTAAAATATATTGATTGTATGTGTATGTAGAAACAACATATTTTATGTTTAATGCGTAATATGCGTATATGTACAAATATTTAAACTGTTTGAGAGCATGCTTTATGGGAGTGGGTGGTCCCTCATTTGCTTGACGTAATTCTCCGATTGGTGGATATTTTGTGCAGAATCATGGGTAATGTAGTTTTTTTTTGAAAAAAAAAAAAAAAAAGTTATACGGGCTGATGGTTTAAACAGAAGCATACACCAACGATTAACAACCTCATAGCTCACAGCAGGTTTGTCTTTAAAGGTTTCTAAGTTATCGTTCAAAGTTGATCTCTTATTCAGAAAATGAATGGGATTTTTACTTCCAGAACACCACTGTCATACTTTATTCAAAAGCAGCGCAGTGAAAGCAAAAACGCGTTCTGTGTGAACCGGCCCCTTAGACATACCTGGTCTTATATGAGTAATGAGGGTGTTGTTGCCTGGCAGCTTGTCGGCTTTACTTCCTTGTAGTGGGGAAACTGGCTGGCAGTCCCTTCAGGAAACAGTGGTCCCAGCATGCACTGCACCTTCAACTCATCATTCTTTTTGTTCCTCAGCACTCCAGGGTGGGGCTTCGGAACCTTTTTAGAAAAGAAGGCACTTTCTTCACTTGATGACTGATTTGGGAGCAGCTTGTGTCGATGTAATTAGCACAATCCTAAATGAGCCATTACGAAAAGGAAGGAAGCTTTCAACTGGCTAAAGATCGAGTTCAGCTTGTAGATTTCAAAGCTCAGGGATTTATCAACAAGCTTTAAATGATCACCATTTTACCTTCTTTGCTTGTTTAGATGAATGTATGACTTTACAGTGCCTTTCTATATACAGTTTATTATATATGTAAGCAGACAGATTGTTGTATTTCAAATTTCAAAGCCAAGGACAAAAGTATATTTTCATCATTGGTATTTTAACTCATTTTTTTTCTGTAATGTTTAGCCTATTAGCATTAGATCAAATGTTAGCTGAAAGTCAAGAAGATCATATTGTGGCTCATTAAGGACAATACATTCACAGCAAACAGAAACACTTCACTGTGCATGAATCATATGATGAATTTTAAGTCATAACATGTGTTGCTCAGTCTGTATGTGTGCTTTTGGTCATAAATGTATGAGAAATCCCAAGTCATGTGAAAGCAATACTTTTCAAGCATTGAATAATTCAGCTGAGAGTTGTGTGGATGCTACAGTCAGTCTCACGGAACAGGATGCATTTTATTTATTTTATTTTTCATTTTTCTTGTATGCATTTTTGCCTCACTAAACAAAAGAGACACCTTGTGACACCCTTTAAACCTTCGGAGGTCATTTCCCCAAGCCAATTTTATATAAAACATTTATCAATTTGTAATTTATACAAATGAATACAATTTGTTTGTTTTGCATTTTGATAAAAAATTGTATCCTAATAAAATTCAAACTGCTTTATTTTAACATCCAACTACAGTTCTGAATTGTAGTCATTTCTATCAATGTTATATTTGTAATTTTATCACAACTGTTTTATCACATAATTTGTAAGAAAGTTTCCAGCAGATTTGTTGTCTTCCTACACTACCACTCAAAAGTTCAGGATCAGTAAGATTTTCTTATGTTTTAAAGAAGTCTCTTATGCTCACCAAGGCTGCATTTATTTGATTAAAAATATTGTGAAATATTATTATGATTTTAAATAACTGTTTTCTATTCGAATAAAATGCAATTTATTCTTGTATTGGCAAAGCTGAATTTTCAGCATCATTACTCCAGTCTTCGAAAGCAGTCTTACGTTCAAGACACAGCTGAATGTAAAGGAAACAAAGCAGGGTTTTGAGACTCTAAAAAGCTGCATGCACTTTGACACAGCATCTTTAAAACACAGTGCTTGTGCGTGAAAATTTATACCAACAGAAAAAATATAGCGCAACTGTGCCTGCTTACTTTTTCAGGAGCCAGAGTTTTAAGCCATGAACTAAAGCAACCAGCTATGAGGTAAATCACAACATTACAAATTTTGATTTGAAGCAAAAAAAAAAGTATTTGAAAATCGAAAACAGACAAAGATACAAGAATGTGTATTTAACTGCTTTAATGAGGGAACGAACTACAATCCCATGAAGCATTGTATATGACAATCAAACTGAAAACAAGAGAAAGTAAAATATATTGATGAAGTCTCTTATGCTCACCAAGGCTGCATTTATTTGATTAAAAATATTGTGAAATATTATTATGATTTTAAATAACTGTTTTCTATTCGAATAAAATGCAATTTATTCTTGTATTGGCAAAGCTGAATTTTCAGCATCATTACTCCAGTCTTCAGTGTCACATGATCCTTCAGAAATCATTCTAATATGCTGATTTGGTGCTCAAGAAACATTTATTATTATTATCACAGCTGAAAACAGTTATGCTGCTTAAAGGTTCAATAGGTGATTGTCTTCAGAAACATTTTTTGTTATGCTGGTTGAAAGTCTCTTCATATCCCGATAGCAATAATTAAGTTAAGTGGTCTAAATGTATTTGTCTGTATTTATATATTCTGTGGAAGGCGTAGGATCAAGAAATGTTCGTCCAATCAAAATGCTAGGTCCGAGCGTTTTAATATGCTTTCCTACCTGCCTGTCAACATATGTATCTGCATGCCTCTGCGCACCCTGTTCGCGCAGACAGGATACGTCATCAGCGCATTCACGCACACTGTGCAGACAGAGCGAGAATGGCAGACAAACATCAACAACCCGATCTTCCTTCCTGGTATTGTAGTATTTGTAAAGTTTTCTCACCGGTGAATGACACATGATGAAGCCCAGCGGTTGTGCCAGCTCGTTAGAAGTGAGCTACGTGCATGAACTGTGTTCCGATCAATATGATCCCTGAACCGCTGAAGTAGCCTATTGTAGTAATGTTGTCTCTGGTATTCTGGTCTGTGAGCGTAAATGCATTCAGGGGGCATGGCTTTGGACGGCGATTGCAGGGAGGGTGGGACGTTCGCTTTCAGTGCTATCAGGCTAAAGCTAGCATTTTCCAAGATCTCCTACTGCACCTTTAATATTTTTGTGGAAATTAAATTTTTCCCCCCCAGGATTCTTCAATAAACAGAAATGTTTTGTATTATACATGTCTTTAATGTCAATTTTGATAAATTCAATGCATCCTTGCTCGATAAAAGTATGATTTTTTTAAAGAAAAACTTTTGAATGGTAGTATGTCTTGAAACATCAAAGAATAAGTCCATAGTACTACTAGATACAATTTCAGTAAAATGTTTTATTTCAAAACATCCAGTCATATTGATTTACAGATTAAAAGAGGAAGCAGGTATAGTGTATTTCCCTATCTGACTGTGATAATGACACAACACTGAACATATAGAGTCAAAACAGCGTGAACCTTATATCTGGTCCCTCTCTCTCTCACACACACACACAAATGCCTGAAGCTTTTGCAGTAGGTAGTGATTACAGCAGAGCTGTTCAGACAAGTCAAAGTTCACTGGAGCGTATTTCAACTATACCAGGGCAGCCCTGCAGAGTTCAGCTCCAACCCTAATTAAAACTCACCTGCCTGTAGCTTCCTAATAACCCTTCAGACCTTGATTAGCTTGTTCAGGTGTTTGATTAGGGTTGAAGTAAAACTCTGCAGGGCTGCGACTCTCCAGGACTGACGTTCGCCACGCCTGAACTATACTGAAGCGTCCATAATCCATATTAGTGCCAAATCTGACCAAGAAAGAAAGTAAAAGTTAAAGTATGTGTTACCAAAAATGACATGATTTACTCACTCTCATGTTGTTGCAAACCTGTGTGACTCCTTTCTCCTGCAGAACACAAAATATATTTGGAATAACCATTTTATCCATACAATAAATGTCAACGGGGTCCAAAAAACAATGCTGTACAGGTTTGGAATGACATAGGGGTGAGTAAACGGGGTGAGATAACAGAATTTTCATTTTGGAGGAACTATCCCTTTAACTATCTGTCTGCTAGATTCTGTTTAAACTAACTTTTTGAAAAGGTCAGAGTTGGTCAGTGAATTTAGACCATCAGGAATGCTGGAGAAGGGATTTCCTTTAGTGCTCTTCTGCATGCAAGCTTCCTTTATCAGTGAGTAAATAAACAACACTCCCAATTTGCCATCAGAATGATATTTGGTTTTAAATCTTACTGGTCATCCAGTCTATTTCTGTTGTCACTCATTATCGGTGCTTTTCCCTGCAATCGCCCCACTCTCTGCTGCCTGACCGCTCTTATTTGACTATGAAATTAGCTCCTGGTACCTCTGTTTGTTTTCCAAGCGCTAACAATGACTCTTTTGTCAGTTTAGTTTCATTCGTTTGCCCGTTCCTCAGTAAAGTTTTGACTTGAGCCTCACTAACAGCAATTCTGCTATATAATGACCATCTTTTCCTGATATATATATTTTGAAATGAAGAAGTGAAAATAAAAGAAGAAAAAACGCAGGTTATTTGTGAAGACTTTATATTACACTACATTTCTTTCTACACAAAAGGAACCAACAACTCCAATCTGCAACCTCTATGTTATAATATTACTTTAAAATAAAAAAAATAAACTAATGTGGGCTGATCAAAATGTATTTAATTATTATAAAATTGCTATAAAATCTATTTTTTTTGTCTAAATAAAAAAAATCAATCATTTGAAATGCTACAACTGAATTTAAGCATAAAAATAATAATGTATAGAATGAAAAACTAAGGTAACACTATTTTACAGTCTACATGTTACATTTACTTGTAATAACAGTAAATTATGCATAATTACAAGCAACTTACCTTAAACCAAATCAAACCCTATCCCTATAGTAGTACATATTATTTAGTACTTAATTGTATTATTACACTTATACAAGGACACCTTAAAATAAACCTTAAAAAAGAATCATTCCAATACCAATCAATAAAAAAATCTGTAACATCAGCCATTAATGAATAGGGTACCAATATATCCAGTAAATATGCATGTGCTAATCTCAGAAATGATCCACTTACTTTTCACCCAAATATTTATTTGGCACCCGATTATTTTGTACCAAGTATTTTGGTACATCATAAAAAGCATTATTATATGCAATCATGTTCACAACATCATGTTGCTCTATGAAAAGACTGAGCCAGTTTTCTCATTCAACCAATGGCAACATCATATCTGAAATGCATCCTAGGGCCCATGTTGTTCACGATCAATAACCGCTCTACATTTGACCACAGAAATATGTAAACTTTACAGTGCTCTCTAGCCACTAAAGGCACACAAGAAACGCTGTGCAAAAGGCAGTTTAAAATGACTTTTCACATGATTTACATTAGCGTTTACAAAGGTGTGACTGAACTAAATGTCTTTCAGTAGCGTGAGCAGTCAGTGTGTATGAGCTCAATGCTGCACTTGTGAAACAGCAGCTGCAAACCAACTGACACGACGTCAAAGTCCATCATCACTCCTCAAGAGTTCAATTATTTTTACACTTGCAAATATTTAACAAATAATAAGCAAATATTTTAAACTTCACATCATTTCGAGTGAAACCAAAGCATGACCCTGACAAACCAATTAGAAAGAGACAGACAAGTCAAATACATTTATTTGAAGTAATGAATCAGCCGTTCCAATTACACCTGAATAAACAATGTAATCGTTCAAAATGTAGCACACCACTGACAATGATTGTTTAAACATCTGTATTGAATTTTTGAAGTAACTGAGTTAAAAACACAATATGTGAAGATGTGAACAGTCTTCGCTCAATCAGTGTCGACCCTAAATCAGCATGAGTGCCACCCTCAGAGCCCTCAAGAGTCTCAAGTTTCAAGGAGATGATGCAAGTATTGACTTCCTGTGTCAGAAGCGCTTTCCCTCTGGAGGTGTTACAACAATCACCTCCTTACCTCCAAAGTCCCAGTAGGCAGTCATGTGGAAGGCCATGTTGGACAGCACCACCAGATACTCACAAAAAGCAAAGAATGTGTAAACTGCCATAGAGAGACAACAGAAATTACTGAAGTGCGGTAAATCAATGCCATTTAAATGGCAAAATACATTATTATTTTCAATTAAATAAATAATTCGCCCAAATATGAAAATTCACCCTCTGGTTTTTATCAGCTGTTTGGACTCTCATTCTGACGACACCCATTCAATTCAGAGGATCCATTGGTGAGCAAGTGATATAATGCTAAATATTTCACCAAATGTATTCTGATGAAGAAACCAACTCATCTACATCTTGGATGGCCGGAGCGTGAGTACATTGTCAGCAATTTTTAATTTTTGGGTACAATATGAAAAATGGATATTAAATTTGAGATTTGGGGTCAGTTTTATTTTTTAAAGAAATTAAATTAAATTTTTTAAAGAAATTAAATTAAATTAATACTTTTATTCAGCAAGGATTTTTTTTTACAGAAAATTCATTAAGAACTTCAAATAAATGCTGTTCTTTTGAATCAAAGAAACTTCAAATAATAATCATGGTTTTTCTTTAAAAAATTAAGCAGCATGACAGTTTTCAACATTTGTAATAAGAAATGTTTCTTGAGCAGTAAATCAGTATATTAGAATAATTTCTGAAGAATCATGTGACAATGAAAACTGGAGTAATGATGCGGAAAAATTTAGCTTTGCATCACAGAAATCAATTACATTTTAAAATAAAATTCAAATATATAAAAGTTCATTTAAATCGTAATACTATTTCACACTATTAGTGTTTTTACTGTATTTTTGATCAAATAAATGTAGCCTCTGTTAAAGGGGTCATATGATGCGATTTCAAGTTTTCCTTTCTCTTTGGAGTGTTACAAGCTGTTCGTGAATAGATAAGATCCCTAAAGTTGCAAAGACTAAAGCCTCAAACCCAAAGAGATATTCTTTATAAAAGTTAAGACTGGTCCACGCCCTCTTAAAACGCCTCGTTTAAACATGCCCCCACACGTCTACGTCACTGTGTGGTAAGATTTGCATAACGCCGCCCAAATGTTCACGCAAAGAAAGAAGGTGTAACTTTATTGTTGCTGCCACCGCCGCCGCCGCGAATGTTTTTGTCTCGTCACTCCGGCCGGACAGGGCATCATCACAACATGGTAGGGGCGTAACATTTCCGTCACACGCTTGAGGTATTTGGCCAATCACAATGCACTGGATAGCTGGCCAATCAGAGCACACCTCGCTTTTCAGACCGATGAGCTTTGTAAAAATCGAGGCGTTTCAGAAAGGCGGGGCATAGAGGAGAAACACTAATGTACAGTATGTGGAAAATAATGTGGGTTTTTTTAACCTTAAACCGCATAAACTCATTTCATTACACCAAATACACAAAATAATGTTCTTTTTAGCAACATCATATGACCCCTTTAACAAAAGAGACTTTTCTTTAAAAACATACTGAACCCAAACTTAACAGCATACTGGTTTGGAACAACATTAATTTTATTAACTAATCACAATTTTGGGGGGTGAACTATCCCTTTAAGAACTTCAAACACAGATAAATAGTTATAATTTGTTGTCAAACTTTATTTTAAGTTCCAGTTCTCACTATTAACGCCCAATTACTGTTTATCAAGTTAGTAAGATAGTTGTTAAATGTAGGTTTTGGGTAGGATTAGGGATGTAGAATATGGCCATGCAGAATATGTGCTTTATAAGCACTAATAAACAGCCAACATGCTAATAATAGGATTGCTAATAAGTAACTAGTTAATAGTGAGAACTGGTCCCTATACTAAAGTGAATTTGCGAGTTCATGTTAAGCATGTAAAATCACCAAAATGGAACAAGTGTCGAGTGGAACATGGGTGGGGTGAATGACCGAGAACGGCGAAGATGTTGCACTCACTTCCTGCTTCACAGTGTGCGTTGTGCCGCTTGTAGAAATAAGCAGCAAACAGACCGAAGAAACCGTTGAAGAGGAAGAGGCGGAGCTTCCAGCGGTATGACATCATCTCCTGACGTCAAACAGGGTTTGGGTAGATGCAGTAGAGAAAGAGAGAAGAAAGACAAGAAAAAGGAGAAAGAAGACACACACAGTGTCATCAGTTCTCTTCTGCAACAAGATGTGGGGCAAGCAGGTGGGACGAGGTTCTGTGAAAGCACAGTAACCACTTCCCCCGAAGCACACAACCCCAGCTGCACTTTCACAGCAATAGAAATATAAAGCTACACTGCGGTCTCTGACACATCAACTCCCATGATTCTCACCCAGCAGCACAAGCAACACCTTTTATTAGAGCTGTGCTCGTGGTGTCAAGATCACTGGGGTGTTAAGAATATATCTGAATAATTACTGTAAGTGAATGTATCGGCTGAATCTAAAAATTGTCATACATGATCATGTTTCATCCAATCAGAAAAGGACCTGCGTGTATGGATTGTTTAAAAGCTAAACTTAGCTGAAATCACAAACTGTCCAAATTGGCACTACATTTGATTTGAAACATAGGCCTACTTTACGACTTTTTAAAAAAGTGTGTTCGTTATAGTATGACTGAAATCCAGGCATACAACAACTACCTAATGTTACTGCCATTCAAGTGAAGTATGTATATTTGGATGCATTATAAAAAATTAAAAAAGCATTTTTTATAATGTAAATCAACAACTGAGCATTCCAAATAAATGATTAGATACATTAAATAAATAAAATAATAATTTAAATAAAAATAAATAAACACCTAATTTGCATTACATGTTCCTGTTTCCAGCAGGGCTTACAATATAAATCACTATTTTTATTTTTATTTATTAAAGCAGCACTATGTAACTTTTTCTGTGTTCAAAATTTGCTAAATGTATATAATGAGCGAGTACATCATGAATTCATCTTCCAAATCACGTTTTTCCGAATCACTACGGTACACTTATAATAAGTACTTATATTTGGACTATTGTAGCCTGGTCGGGTCGTCACCGCTGCGGAGTAACACATACCTGCGTGAATCGCCATAGACATAAACTTAGAGAAGTAGCTCCGGTTGGAATGTTCTTCCGCGGGATGTGTTTATTTATTCTGTTTATTAACCGCTAGAGCGCCAAAAGTTACATAGTGCTGCTTTAAAATTTAAAAACAAAGTAGGGCTATAAATATAGTTTTAATGTATATTACATGAGAGATTGGATTATACTGCCCTCTGCCGGTCTGTTTGTAACAGTTGTGGGCAAGTAAGTGCATGCCTAGAATACAGAGAAGTCATTACCTCTGCACTGAGGGAATACTTTGCAATCAAGGACCACAGCTTGCAGGTGCACATCATGTGGAACAGGGAGCTGCCAATAAACAAGACGAAGCCGCTCTTATGGACACCTGTGGACCACACGTACATGCACAGCATTAAAAACCATGTACAAAAAGCATGTTTTTCATGTAAAAATAATATAAAACAATTTCAGGAAAAAAAATACATTTTGCATTACAAAATGAAACCTGTTTTTGCATAGCAACATTTTCTTTACAATTTATCCATGTTTTATTATTCTGTATTATAGTAAAGGAAATTATCCTGCTCACATTCTTTTTTTTTTTGATTTGTTTTTACTTCAATATAAATTAAATGTTGAAATATACACTACCGTTCAAAAGTTTGGGGTCAGTAAGATATATATATATATATTTTTTAAGAAATTAATTATTAAATGAATTAAATTGATCAAAAGTGACAGTAAAGACATTTGTAATGTTACAAAAGATTTCTATCTGAAATAAACACTGTTCCTTTGAATGTCTATAAAAAAAAAACAAATAAATAAAATTGAAAAAAATGTTACGCTTCCACTAAAATATTAAACCGCACAACTGTTTTTCACAATGATAATAAGATCAGCATATCAGAACGATTTTCTGAAGGATCATGTGACACTGAAGACTGGATTAATGATGCTAAAAATTCAGCTTTGCCATCACAGGAATATATTTCATTAAAATATATTAAACTAGAAAACAGTTATTTTAAATAGCAATAATATTTCACAATATTACTGTATTTTTTTATCAAATAAGTGCAGCCTGGGTGAGCATAAGAGACTCAAAATGATTCAAACTAATCTTACCCAAACTTATATATGGTAGTGTACTATACATCATTGTAGCAAAATCAAAACTATTATAATGCATACTTAAAATTATGCTTTACAATTGATACTTTTCAATTTAAGTGATAATTCATTATTTTTTTAGTATTAGAGTAATGAGAGTTTTTAACTACAATACACTTACTGGGAGTAGGTTTGCTTTAAATGAAAATAATGTCAGACTGATAAAGAAAAATCAAACAATCTCATCATACAATTACAACACGGGTAAAAACTGAAATGTTTAAAAGCACATTTTTGCATCTCCAGCCATATACAAACATGCCACATTTAACTAATCAATAAAAAATATATAATAAAAACCACATCTAAGCGATCCAGCAAGCGCTCTCAGCATCCCTGCATTTGCGTACACGTATTCAAACACGACTCAGGGCTTCGGTCCAAAAAGGCACTTACTGTAGGTCTCATTGGAAGAGACGTAGGTGAGCAGAAGCAGCCCTACATTTTCACTTAAAGCTAAGAGGAATGTGAGAACACTCAAAAGCTGCTCCGTCAGCCTCCTGGAAAAGCGTCCGCGGTAAAAGCTCAAATATGCTGCTGCTACCAGGAAGCGTGGAGCAGAATGCAGGCCGATGCTGAAACGCCAGATGTAGCGCTCCGGTGTCAGACTGATGGCTGCGCTGATGGACGGGAGGTAGTTAGGAACCTGTGAACCCCATTTTTAAAAGATCTTTATTACAATGTCACTGCAAGTTTAGCACAGGCAAGTGAAAATCTGAAGCTTTTCTTCACAAAACATAAAAACTAGTTTGTGACATATAACTATTATAAATATTAACACATCTAACATTCACTTCAATGAATGAATGGAGACAACAGTACTGTTTTACACTGTTTCCATCAATTGAATAAATTGACACCAAAGTCCAAATTTTACAGTGTTGACAAAATAACACGTACATGTACACATCACACATGCATTAACTAATTCCAAACAATTTCTTCACAATTCGCATGATAAATATCATGCATGACACACAATAGTTTAATTAAAATAAAACACACACACACACACATCCATACATACACATATATATATAGGCCTTTAGTAGGTGAAGCGAAGCTGAATAAAAGTTTTGACTGATGATACGTGAAGGCAATACATGATTGTGACAACATATGATTTTTGTGTTTTTCCAGGTCATCTACACGTAATAAATCAAGTATATGAATAATGCAGTGCTAATTGATATATCATTACAGTAGTCTTTAGAAACCATTAAATATATTTTCTGCTTTATTCTATGATAAAAATAGCAAAAACATGTAGTAAATAAATCAATCATAATATTGTCATTAGGAAAATATAGGAAAAACATTATAGAATACAAATGATTGGTTATTGTCCAGAAGAAATAATGATAATAACCTGTCAATTAGCCCCCCCCCCGAAACCATTAAATATATTTTCTGCTTTATTCTATGATAAAAATAGCAAAAACATGTAGTAAATAAATCAATCATAATATTGTCATTAGGAAAATATAGGAAAAACATTATAGAATACAAATGATTGGTTATTGTCCAGAAGAAATAATGATAATAACCTGTCAACTAGCCCCCCCCCCCGCTAATTGTTTTTATTAGCTAATAAACCCCGCTAATGAGTTATTATTTTGACATAAATGTAAAATGCTTTAAAACACTAACTTTATGAGATTCATACTTGGCTAAATAAATAGAATATAGATTGCATTGTATATGTAAAAATATAAAATAGATTTAGTTTTTCTTTTTCTGATAGTGTAAGTCATGTTTACTTAAACAAAAAAATGTGACTGGGACATTAATTTACATTTGAGTTTTTTTTTTTTAACAAATATTAAATACACAACTTTGAGGACTTTGATTCCTCATTTCAGAACACCACCAAACGGTGAGCGTGATTTCACCAAGATTTCAACATCCTTGTTGATCCTGGAACAGCATTCCAATCAACCAATCAGAATTGAGGGAGAAGTTACCAGGAAATATCTGGTTTAGGCTTATGAGCAGGGTTAGGTGCTTCTACACCCTTGTTAATCAGCTATCATTTCACACTGATTTTAGGAACAGATTACGGGTAGGGTTAGAATTAGGGGTAGGGATTGGGTTAAGTCTATATTTTTGGACAATAATGTTGATCCAGGAACATGTCTTACTTCACAAAATCACAGCAACCCCACTGATTTATAAACTATATTGCCAAACGTGTTGGGACACCCCCTTCTAATGAACAGGTTTGACTACTTTAGTAATTTCCATGAGTACAAATCTTAATGTTTAAGCATATATGATATTCTAGGGATTTGTGTGCTTTAATTTTATAGCAACAGTTTGAACAGGACCCTTTTCTATTCTAACATGACAATGCCTCTGCGTATAAGGCAAGCTTCAAAAATAAATGATTTATTCAGTCAGTGTGGAAGAACTTGACTGGTCTGCAGAAACCCAACACCTCTGGTGTGACTTTAAATGCAGACCTTGAGCCAAAAACTCACCAATCACCAAACACCAATGACTTGTACATACACCATATAGACAAAAGTACCCCCCTTCTTTAGAACAGAAAAAGGCACTTCCAAAACGATGGCAACAAAGATGGAATCATATTCATGTATTAAAAAATTGTATTTCCATCTCTGATGCAACAGTTTTGGAAGTGTCTAAAATGACTGTACCCATATATATATATATATATTAGGGGATGCGAGTGAGTCTAGCAGTAACGGTCAGGTTCTCACCTCGCAGTGTGTGTAGGTCGCCTCGTTGTAGTGGTAGAGCAGAGCCAGCACGATACAGGCGACGAGGCCGAGCAGAGGCAGACACACTGTGATCACCGCTAACCGGGTGAAAGGCACACGGATGAGAGGCTGGTCTCGATCCACAGATCCGTACAGAACCTGTTGCATCTTCCCTCGGCCAATTACAGCTCCAGATGTGTCAACATCTACAGATCGACGCTACGCAGCCCATTGCAAGTGCAATGCTGTGATGACAGCAGCTCTAAACTAAATGTCTGATAATTAGCCCGAGCTCAAGTTGCGTGGCTCTGGATTATATCTTGAGTTACATGCTTAGCGACTGTTCGCTCACCTCCGGCTCACTGTTGCGCGGTTAATAGTAACGTTAGACGATCTCTAAATGAAGCGATATTCAAGTCAGTACAAGTAAATAAACAGTTAATAATTCTATTCAATCAAAATTGTTAAAAGTCTAGATTCTCCGACTGTTATTCTGGATGCGAGTACAGATCGCGAACACTTCCGGTTTTGTGGCACCAGTAGATTTCAAAATAAAAGTCCTTGCTGAGCGCCATCCTTTTTTTTGTTTTTTAAATAAATTTTTCATTTCAGGAACATAATTAGTAATACACCTGCGTATTAAAATACAGATTTTCGTATGCCGTTTAAGAACACTGACATGCTGTACAATATCAATTTCTAGACCCAATCAATATAATCCAAAAAAAAAAACAAAAAAAAAAACTTTACATTGGGTACATTATGTGCCCCTCTCAGGACTGTGCACAATGAAGCATTGATCCTTTCAAGTCCAGTAAATATATAATTCTTGCACCAGAGAAACAAAAAAACTCCGCCCATTAGGTTCTCCACATCAAATCCACAGTCTTAATAATGCAACACGAACAAAAACCAACCACACTGACATGAAAAAAAAAAAAAATGTATTGCTAACAGACATCCAATCACATTGCTTCCAGTCAATACATCAAATCACAGGACTGTTTTTGTCAACCTGGTGCATCGCTCGCTGTATATTAAAAATGGGCCCTCAATTTGTGTTAAATACAACCAAATAATTTTCTTTTGAAGAAAAACAAAACATGAGGGACTCATCCACCGCCCCGTCTTTGAAATGACAAAACAAAAAATCCAATCTGCCCTCTCTTGTTCCAAATAGCGCTCTCAAAGTTGGTTCACGGAGAGAGGACTACAGAAAACAGCTGCAAAGTCTGTAGACAGGCAAGAGGTGGGAGTGTGGGAATGTTAAAGTATACATGTCAGGGTCTCTTGGCCCAGTCTACTAGAGATGTTCTCCAACTCTCTTCCACAGCGTTCATCATTCCTCCGATTCCCACACTTCCTACAGGAGTCGTCAGTCAGGAGTCACTGTCCGAGCCATTGCTGCTGTCCCGACTGATCTCGATCTGCAGCGAGGGCAAGTTGTCCAGCCGGCTTTTCTTCATCTTGTTGGACTGCTGCTCCTTCTGCTTGATCATTGCTCCCCACATCTTCTGCAGCTGAGAGTCATCCTCTTTATTGTTATCAACTCCGTCAGACTCCTCGTCATCTCGTCGCCTTATTCCTTTTGAGGAAGACGCTCGGGAAGCAGTCTTGTCATCGTCTCTATCGTCCCTATGAGACGGGCCTAAGCGGCTCCACAAGCCTCCTGAAAACAACAATTACTATTAGTATTAGAAAAAAATGTGAAGAGAACCAAAAGAGCATTGACTCCAATTATACCCGTTTTCTTGTCTTTCGAGGACTCCGAGTAGAGGCTGCGGCTCTCGTGTTTTGTCACTCCGAGTCGGCTGCGCACATCAGTCAAAGGCTCTCTCCGAGACACTGCGTTTCTAGAGATGACGGGAGAGACAGAGCGACGTCTCTCTGGAGAGTGTGGTCTTTTGCCTAATCTCTGTCTCACATCTGCGGAGAGAAAATGTGTCCTTTTACTGGCCACATTTGCTCAGCATGAAAATGGTCAAACACATTAAGCAATCCTGTGGATTTCAGTTCATCCGCTTTTTATGTTTCAAGATTCTTATGAATACATAAGACCTTTTTTTAATAAAGAACATTAATATTGTGTCCATACAAACCAAACCTATAGAATCTCAAGTAGAATAATCTATAACAAATTATATATTTTAATCAAACTCTGGGGAACACATTCGAATGCAAAACAGGGTAACTGCAAGCAGTTTAAAACGTTTTATTCAACATGCATATGTACTGAAATTGGTCTATTTAATAGCATATCAATACATAAGAATGACATTGCTTTTAAAGAAAGTCAATAAAAAGATTGTGCCAAAATGAGTAAAATCTATATTGAACGTGTTAAATAATGTTTTTAGACTTTCCTATGACAGAGCAGCCCAGAGAGAAGCCTCAAAGACTTGATGTTGAATTAAATGCCAGATACAGTTTCTTTAACCAATAATATCAAGGAAAAACTGTTTTATGCATAATGCAGACTAAAAGCATTATAATCAAGGCAGAAATACATTGGGACTCTAATTTTAAAATGTCTATGCTTGACTACTTCCAGCAGCTCATTCAAAGAGATGGAAATAAAATATGCACTCTTATAACCATCTACAATATAAACAATTTATAAACAGTATATCATAAGCAGTCTATTGGCATAAATGTGCATAATTCAATGACTGTGAAGTGCTCTTAATGTGCAACAGTGCCACATTTTGACTGAGCATGCAGAGCTCACATTTATTTAATTCAACCATAGCCTTCTGAACTGTAATCTTCACTAGGGATGTAACGATTCACTCAACTCACGATTCGATTCACGATTTTTTTAACAAAATGAGATTTAAGACTAATTATAAATTAAAAGTGTCCTTTTATTATTGCTTGGCCAAAATTCTGCACGTTTCTTTGTGAAATTGAATAATATACTAATATAGCACTTGCATATTATTGCTCTTTTGTTGGTTTTGTCCTCATTTGTAAGTCGCTTTGGATAAAAGCATCTGCTAAATAACAAAATTTACAATATAATGTAAATGTAAATAACAAAACTAAATTGAAATTTTAAAACAAGCCCCAAATCAAATAAATCACACAAATAAAAGAAATCTCTTCATATAAACAAAATAAGGCTTTGTCTGTTCTTTCCTTTTAAAATTAGAGGCAACCACTGCATTTTAATCATGATCCAAACAAAGATGCTGCATACACGCAACATGAGCAGTTTTTAATCTAAATTAGATTGAATAATTTCGAAATTTGAAGAAAAAAAAAAGACAGTTTTGCGAAACTATATACATAAATATCTGCAAGAAACAGAAACAGCAAATGAGCTGAATGAGATGCAGATTCACTCTCTGCCAGCAGGTGGCGCTTAAAGCGTTTCCTTGGTTTCTGCTGTAAACAAAGCAAAGCTGCACTTACGAACTTTAATATGCATTGTACAGAGGCAAGATGAAAAGAAGAAATACCATCCAAACGTTTCTAAAGACAGTAAGTTCCCCTCAGACATGCATTCATATAAACTACCGCTAATTGAATCGCGATTTGTTGAGCATCTCAACCGATTTGAATAGTCACATTTAAATCAATTTTCAACCGGCTCGCGGTTAATCATTACATCCCTAATCATCACATTAGGTCATATCTCAATTCCAAAGTTTGAGACCTCTTAAAATTATACTTATTACATTTGTTATACCATTTAAGATATGTAATACTTTTTAATGACCTTAAACTTGATTAGTGGTCGACTGATATATCATCAAGGCCGATATTTGCCATTTTTTAAATATCGGCATCGGCCAATCAGTTTTTCTGTTTGGCCGATGTGGACTTTTATTTTGACGGCGCTGAGAGCGGCAGCGCCTGAGCACACAGTGCTCACGTTCTCCCTCTTTTTCGCCATCGTCGTTAACAGTTCTGTCTAATACGGATAGAAGTCGGTCTAATAATCCGATAGAACTGTTAAACAAAGGAATTAAAATGTATACAAAAAGTATTATAACGATTGCTTTTATATTATTAGTAATAGAAAGGCAAACATTATAATACTTTCTCGTTTGCCGTCAGCATTAAGCAAATATGCATTTATATAATTTAAACAAATCTTTGAATGGCTAATGAACATTTAATTTCACAAACCTTGCAAACTTAGTCGAATCCAGTTGTGAGATCTTGTGAAGTGTGCATGTGACCTGCATGATCGCATGTTCTCTGCGTGACTATCGGTCCGTGCAAATTGTGATTTCAAATTATGCTGGGCTTTATGCATTTGCCCACTGTCACATTCATGTTTTTTCACAGTGTGCTGTATGTAAAATGAGTGTTACCCTGGCTTTATTTGAAAAAAAAAATGATTCCCAATGCACACAAACTTCCCAGAATACTGAGTGCTCTGTTGGTTACAGACTAGTTTATTTCCTTTTTAATTATATTTTTATTAAATTTATTTGTTTGTGGAAAAGACTTTGTCATCTAAAGTATAAATGTTTATTTTACAAATGTATTTATTAATCCATTTTCAAATTATTTCAAATTTCTTAAATATTAATGAAAATAAATACAATTATATCGGCAATCCTGCTTTCCAAGATATCGGTATCGGCTGTCAAAAAAACCAATATCGGTCGACCACTAAACTTGATTAAACTGAATTTAAGACTTTTTAATCATCTTCCAGGAAACCTCAATCTGGGTGCCAGGGGCACTTGATGGCAAACTATTTAAATCAAGCAATAGATATTATTATTATATTAAGATAATCTAACTTCAGTGCATATTAGAATGCTAAACATTAAATCAAGATTTTTAGGTTCTGTCAATAACTAACCCGTCTTGCCGCTTGTAGTCACTGGGGGACATGATCTCTGCTGAGAGAGTCCCTGCCTCTTCTCCTCCAGTAACTGCCTCACATCCGTCACTTTGTCTGATGTAGACTTGGATGAGCCTCCACCTCCTCCACCTCCAATGCGACTCTTAACACTGCTACTTGTTTCAGTCCGTATGGAGTTTCTGAGGCAGTGAAAGGGACAAAATGCACAATTACCATTAAGAAACTTGATCATCATGGAATCTTTTCAGCATGAGGGTCAAGAGACGAAACGCAAATCCTAAAGTGTGGACTGAATACTCACCGAAGACTGCGAAGGTTGGTTTCTACCTCGTCGGCATACATGGTCATCTTCATACTCTTTTTGGGAGAGGGCGTTGAGATCATTTTCAGTTCCAGATCGTAGTCCATCTCATCTGAATCTGAAGATGTAGGAGACGGGCCACCTTCCCCTAGCCGTGGCCCCCGTTCCCTGTCTGCCCGATCTCTGTACTCCACCACTCGATCATCAGCATCCATGTCTTCCTCTCCATCCTCCTCGTCTTCTTCCTCTTCTTCTATAGGCTCTTCTGGCAGATTCACCAGGTCAGCTGAGAAAGAGAAAGAGCTTAATTGACACACCAAATAAAACTCAAGAACAAAGATGTCAGTTTGTTATTTAAGAGAGTTTTACCAGAGTGTCGATGAGTGTAAGGTGGGGT